TCGGAATTGCAAACGAACCGCGATGAAGTTGTGGGCCGTGGCTTTCGCGGGGGAGACAGAGGCGGTTGTGGGGGACGCAGCCATGTCGGGGCGCCCCGACAGTGGTTCCCGCCACCTCTGAACGACTTCGTGGACGGCAACGATCATGGCGGCGATAGGGGTTGGCGCAAGGAGGCAGCCTTCGCTGGCGGATATCGTGCCCGACACTATTGGGGACTTGATCGTGAATTTGGTCCGTGGGAGGGCCTATTTCGCGTTGACATCTCCGAATTCGATGAAGAGCAAGTTTATGGGTCATTGTACGATGGTCCGCCTGTATTTGATGAAGGACCCGAAGAGGTGGAGGATCGTCTTCCCGACAAAGTGGACGATCTCTACGACGATCCGCCGATTTTCGTTGAGGAGCCTCCAGGGCTAGAGGATTACCATCATGTTTCGAGTTCCAAAATTCAGCTGTTGGAAGAAATAGTTCTTCTATTGCGCAGGCCCGAGCTTTTCTCCCATGAGAATTTGTTGCGACCTGACAAACAGATGTTGTTTTTTGGTCCCCACGGTGACTTCAGTATTCTGTGTGTGACTGCAGCATATATGTCTTTATATGAATTTCAAGGGGGCAATACTATGGAGGTGAGGTATTCGACCTTCGTGTTCGATGGGGAAAAACGGCAGGGGTTTACTATCATGGGTTCGACACCACACACCGGCCACGGATGCGCATCGGCTTCGAGGGCGAAGCCTTCCGAACCGGAGGAGAATGGTGTAGATGATTATTATTATTATTATTATTATTATTATTATTATAGGTATCTTAGAGAATAAGTTAGAAATCTAATATTATTACAAGAGATCTTGTCTTGTTGGACAAGTTAGGAATAGGGTTATGAGCCTTATTTAAAGGACTCCTCATCTATTGTTTTATTCAGTTGATTTTGAATATGAAATAAGATATTGAAAGTTTTGCGTGTTTTACGAGAGAGTATCTCGTTTACTCGTTTTATCTTTCCCATTCGTAAGCTTTCCGCTACATCACTCTCTCTCTCTCTCTCTCGCTCTCTCATTTTCTCCCTCATGCGCTCATGCTTTACTTGCTTTCTCATGCTTTCAACTAGTACTTTAGTTTAGTTTAAATTCAACCCAAACCAAGCAATTAGCATGTCTAGGATATTTTCGTTTGAGTGACTTTGACGACTAGGTAGTAACCGAAGCTCCGAATAGCCTTCCTTTGAGAACGACCCGAGGCTGGGTAACTCGGTTACCAATACCCAAAAATTTACTCAACAAAATGGCGCCGTTGCCGGGGAAGGCGAGTAGGACGCCAAGTTTACTATTTAGTTGTCGTTTGTTTCCGTGTTTCTCTTGCTTTTTGTGGATTTCGTTTGTTTTTGCGTGTTTCTCTTGATTATTGCCTTGTTTTTCGATTTCTTTTGTTTTGCCTTTCGTGCCCGTGTAAATATTATGTGTTTTTAGTTTCGCTTTTCGTTATTCTCTCTCTTGCCTCGTGTGCCTTGGGTTGTTTTTCTTGTTCTTGTGCGAGGTATTACGCTTGAGGAGCCCGGATGGATCCCTATTCTCACTATTATGCCGGGAGCTCATTTCGTGGATACCCCAACAATTCTCAAAGGGAGATGAACTCATTTGGCCCGAGCCACCCTTATTCCACACCCCAATGTGATTATTATGATCACTATCCGGCTTATGACGAGACGCCTCTCTACTATCTTCCACCTCCCGGTTCATATAATGTTATGCCTCCACCTGAGCCGACTTGGGCCCCTCCAACCGAATTAGAAAAGATCATGGCAAAGTTGGAGGAGGACACTCAATCCCTTCGTGCTTCATTGGTCTCCCTATCTGAAAAAGAAGAAACCGAGTCCTTCACTTCTCCCTCTCCGGTATTTGAGCACCCATCGGTTGTCCAACCTCGTTCATCTAGTCTTGGAGCTTCATTTCATTCTGAGGTTGGACCGATCGATCGTCACCAAGAAGTTTTAGCGAGAACTCAAGACGCACTCGTGAGCCTCGCGTCGATCATCGAGGAGTTTAATAGTTGGAGGTGCATCCCGATTCCATCCGTTCTCTGTGCTACACTTGATAAGTTCGACTCCTGGTGTCTTTTCTCGACTTGGATTCATTTTCTATTCCGCTCGGTAGATATTCTACTCTATCGGTGAAGCTTAATCGAGAGAGCACTCGATTAGAGAGCGAATTTCGAGTTATGGTGGATCGTTTTGCTTCCTTGAAAGGGAAGGGCCTCACTCCCGTGTACGATGGAACTCAACCTTTAGACACGAGTGAGGACATCGATGAGCTTATTGTCAAAGAACTTCCTCCTTGTGATG